GATGATGAAGCAAAAACATTTTGCTTTCTTGGATTTAAGGGAGATTGCAAGCGATATACTTGTGAAATATATCAAATAAGTTAAATATAGCTACAACACATTCTTTTCTTCAAATGAGGTATGTGCTCTTCAACAATACAAAGAAGGCTCAAGCAGTCACAACTTACTTTCAGTGAGAGGAAAGGGCTAAATAACTAGCCAAATGATAGAAGAATATGTCTCTGTTTTGTTATTCCAACCTGAATTGTTCTAAATTATTTCTTTAGGAGAAGCATTGATCTCACTGGCAAAGTGTTTCTTTCTAGAGTTAAGGACTACGTTCATTTCAGAGAATGCCTTTCTAAAATTATCTTGAAAGTGTAAAATGCCATTTTCCCTCTCTGCATCTTCTAAAATAGGAGAACATTGGCGCTGATTTCCATGACTTCTTCATCTGCTGCAGTCTGGTAACTATTCCCGAAGATGGCATGTTTAATGTCACTCTTCATTTTCTATAATTCACAGACTGAAAGCAAAACACAGGTAAGAGGCCACGGAGGCATTTGTACCAGTGCGATGATTCAAAGCCTGATCAATAAATAATTGCACTTAAAAGATTAACCCAATCTCATCCAATCTTTTTCCTAGTTAAGTGGCTAAAATACATTCAGAAAAGAGTTCCCACATATCTTTATCTACCTCTGGTTTACCAATATCAGACAGGGCAACTATAGATGATGTTACACAAGTGCTTTCAAAATTTATGGCTCACTGGAGCATTGATTTTTTTCCCGCCGGGCCTCTACTGCAGTAGGCCAGACATTGAATATTGATAGCCTAGATACCTCTATTTCTTTTGACTTTTTTTTTTTTAAAGCTCAGCATTGGGGAAAATCCAGGGCTTAATTCCAGGACCCTTTCCAAAACCATGGAAAGGTGTTAAATCAGTAGTGGGTTTCACTTACTTTCGCTATCAGTTTGGAACTATGAGTGTGCACGTGCTTTGCTCACAGACGGCACTTCTGTACAGGCACAGAAGGTTCTGTGCATGTGCAGAGTGCCCGTGATGATGTCCAGGCAGGTGGGCGGAGCCTCCTGCTGCCACCGCTACCGGTTTGCCCGAATCAGGGCAAACCGCTGGAAACCCACCACTGTGTTAAATGATCCTAATAGGCAGTGGTGGGATTCCAATAATTTAACAACCAGTTCTCTGCCCTAATGACCAGCTGGGTAGGCGTGGCTTGGTGGTCATGTGACTGTGTGGGTGTGGCCAACTCAACATCACTCACGTCGATAGGTGCTTCGCCTTAGCTGTTACAATGTAATAAGTGTTAACCGGAGAGGCAGTTTCTGTAAGCAGGGGAATAAAGATTAGGCTAGAAACAACACTAGAATGTTTTCTTCCTGCCTTTCTTACAGGATTAGCCCTGTAAAGTAGAAAAAAACAAAATAAGATTTCTTCCAACAACAGGTTCTCCGAACTGCTTAGAAAGTTAACAACCGGTTCTCCCGAATAGGTGCGAACTGGCTGAATCCCACCACTGCTAATAGGTATAATATTGAGGTAATATCTTAACAATCATCTTGAAATTATATCGATAGTATATTGTTCCATCCAAGTATGATACATCCTGATACTTAAAAGCAGTATATCAGCAAAGTCTTTTTCAAATTAATGTCATGAGATCCTGAAAAAAGTACTCATTTTATTAAAAGTTTTCATAAATATTCACAATGGCATCATATGCATTTAGGTTAACCACCATTTGTTTTCCTAACAAGTGAGCCCTGGGCTTTTTGGAGGTTCTACCAAGGAGAACCCAGTTTCATATATTCTTGGCTGAAGAACTCTATTTAGGATGGTCGTCTTTTTCCACTGAGCCCACAGCATTGGGGAGACACATATGAGCCTACAGCTTTGGGGAGTGGGAGAGGAAAACACAAGCCTAGCCAGTCAAATCAATTGAATCATCCTAGAGTGACAGATGTCACAGCCAGAACACTGCAACATCAGATATGTATTCAAATTCACCACAAGAAAAAAAATTCTCAGTCAATCGGGTCATGTCCCAAAGGTACTTTTTCAGAAGACAACTGGACTTTTATTTTTCTTCTTCTTCTTCGGTTCTTCTTCGGAACTAAAGAAGCTTCTTGGATGAGAAGTGAAACGTCTTCAAGGCAACTGGACTTTCTTTGTTTTTCCTTGAGGTCATTTCACTTCTCTTTCAAGAAGCTTCTTCAGTTCTGAAGAAGAACAGAAGAGGAAGAGGAAGAGGAAGAGGAAGAGGAAGAAGAAGAAGAAGAAGAAGAAGAAGAAGAAGAAGAAGAAGAAGAAGAAGAAGAAGAAGAAGAAGAAGAAGAAGAAGAAGAAGAAGAAGAAGAAGAAGAAGAAGAAGAAGAAGAAGAAGAAGAAGAAGAAGAAGAAGAAGAAGAAGAAGAAGAAGAAGGAAAGTCCAGTTGCCTCCTGAAAAAGCACCTTTGGTACAAGAAGAAAAATAAAAACATATAAACACAAAACAATCTATAGGTAATCCTTGCCTAACAACTGGTCACTTAGCATTTCTTCAAAGTTATGAAGGATTCCCCAAAAGATAACTTACAAACTAGATTCAGCCTGCCCCCCACCCCCCAAATCTAATTGCATTTAGGGTTTTTAACCTTTTTTTTTTTTTGCCAGAAACCAACAATTACTTCTGATTTCAGGCAAAAAACCCCCACAAAACCCCACTGCAGACAATGGGTTTTCTTAACAACTATTGTGTTTGCTTAATGATCGCTGCAGAATAAATGTCATAAAATCAGATCAGTCACATAATGACTTGCTTTATGACCAGCACATACTACAACTAGGCTCAGTTACAGCTATAAGTCAAGAACTGCCTGTACTTCGTAACTGATTTCACTTTCTATATATCTCTTACAAGAATGAAGGCGAATATACGTGTCCCGGGATAGTGCTGCAGGATCCAATCTTACAAGAACTAGAGTTTTCCTTCAGGGTAAGTAATGTGTGTGGGGAGAGAGAGAAACAGAGAGAGAGAGAGACAATAGTCCTTTCTAACATGGGACCTGACTTCTGTCCCAGCTATTTCATTCCTTATATTAATCCATCTCTTGGGTTCCATGATCCTTTTAACGTGTCTACATCCATGAGAGAGAAAAAGTGAGTAAGTGGCATGTGCCATCAATGGCTCCACCCATTTTCAGCAGAGCGTTCCCTCCCTAATTTGGCATAGACTTTTCCACTACTAACCTGTTTCCCCAAAAATAAGACCCAACCGGAAAATAAGCCCTAGCATGATTTTTTCAGGATGCTCGTAATATAAGCCCTACCCCAAAAATGAGCCTACCCCAAAAATAAGCCCCAGTTAAGATCATCAGCCAGACCGACACAATTAGTACAATATTTCCCCCCAAAATAAGACCTAACCAGAAAATAAGCCCTAATGCAACTTTTGCAGCAAAAAATAATATAAGATCCATTCTTATTGTCGGGGAAACACGGTAGTACGCAGTCCAAGATTAATTCATCCCTCTCGCTGGGGATCATAAAATAACCCCCAGTCTTGAACTATTATCTAGTTGGTCTCCCAACAATGGCAACTGGATGGAATGCATCAGCTGCTGTCACTATTGGCTCACTGCAAACAAGCATCCATTGCCTCTAATCACGGAGACTCGATATAACTCCTCATGGCTAGCAGTGGCTGAGAAATCTTTCCTCTCTGGAAGATGTCATTTTTACAGGTCACCTTGAGAATCCAAGCATTTGAGTACTATATCAAATCATATCTTTCAAAATCTCCACACAAGATTAGCTTTACATGAGATAAGGTGCACATTAAGTAAGATTAGAGCGTATAAAGAAGGCAGATCAAATCTGTTATCTGGTCTTATAATACTGCACTCAGGGAGACCTTCTTGCTTTTAGCATACATTTTGGAAGGTCACCCAAATGAATACAAATGCTAAAATGTCTTTACATGCTTCTTTTATCTTTGGTCCGATGTCCCCAGTACAGCAAGGAAGCAAAGCAGCCTATTCTCAGTCATTCAAGTCATGGTTGTCCCAAATTGGGTGCCTTTTCAAGAGGCAACTGGACTTTCTGGTGTTTCTTTGAAGACATTTCGCTTCTCATCCAAGAAGCTTCTTCAGCTCTGATTTCCATATAAATCCTTCCATTCTTCATCAACATCATCCAGTGAGAGCTGAAGAAGCTTCTTGGATGAGAAGCGAAACATCTTCAAAGAAAAACCAGAAAGTCCAGTTGCCTCTTGAAAAAGCACCTTTGGGAAAGCAGCCTATAGGTTACAGCTTCTCCTCATGGTAAATTCTGTAAAATAAATGAAAGCTTAAAATTGGGCTCAGTTCTGTTCTATGGAGAGTTTCAGTATCACCACTGAGACCAGCCAATGAAAATTTGGAGACTTCATTCCCAGATACTATGTCCTGAGACTCTGCTTTGCAACAGGCAGGAAATTCTCCCACAAATTTTGCCATGTCTTGAACCATTGCAATGGTATAGATCCATGATAGCAAACCTATGGCACGTGTGCCGGAAGTGGCACACAGAGCCATTTTTCCAGGCACGCGAACTGTCGCTCAACTCACCTGCAGCTGTGCATGCAAGCACACGCCCCAGCTGGTGTTCGGGCCTCAGGTGCGCATGCACGCAAATTGAGGAACCCAGCTGATCTTCGGAGTTCTCTTACGCATGCGCGCACATTTGTGCATGCACACACATGTACTATGTGCATGCAGATGGTGTTTGTGCGTGTGCATTGCGCAGGCAAAAACATGCATGCGCAGATGGTGCGATTTCACACACCGCGCATAGGGGAGCCGTGTGAAACCTGGGTGCATGCGCAGATAGTGCAATTGTGTGCGAAGCGCACCGTGGGGCACACGCATGAAAGCTGTGTGCATGCACAGATGGTGTGGTTGCATGCGCTGCGCATGGGGGAGGAGCCATGCATTAGCATGGATGGCACGCGCATGCGCAAATTGCACAAAGCACGTACCTGTTTGGCACTCGGTGAATAAAAGATTCGCCACCACTGGTATAGATGAATGACAGAAATCTTGACCTGGTGGTGAATTCTTGAAGGCTGTAATTCACAATATCTATTTCAGTATTTTATTTCCACTGCTGAAAAGCAGGATGAAATATGTATGCAAATTTTTATATTGTGGATTAAATTATTACGTGTATTAGATATAGATGGATGCCGAATTGGAGCGATTTGAGGTGAAGGTAAAATTCATTTCCTCTTATTTATAATTGACCTTGTTTTTCTTCCTAGCGTTTTTCCACAAGTGCAGGTTTGACTTTTTTTCAGATCGATCAAGGGTTTATTCATTGATTGCGACAGAAACTGACTGACCAGCTTGTTGTCCGAGCCTGATAGCATGAGCTGAGAGAGATTTGACTAGTCCAAAATCATCCAGCCAGCTTTCATACCTAAAGTGGATCTAGAATTCATAGTCTCTTGCTTCCTAACCTGGTACCTTAGCCACTAGACCAGGGGTGTCCAAACTTGGTAACTTTAAGACTTGTGGACTTGAAGTTCTGGGAGTTGAAGTCCACAAGTCTTAAAGTTGCCAAATTTGGAGACCCTTGCACTAGACTAAAAACTCAGATTTTCATGTTGCCGACTCTCATTCCAAACAAAGGGAAATTGTTATTAATTATGGCTGCAGTTCTCATGAGTTTGCTATGAAATGAATTCAGGTAATTCTCGATTTACAATTATTTGTTTAGTGCCTGGTCAAAGTTATAACAGCACTGATAACCAGCCCTTGCACTTACAACCAATGCTTCCATTTCCATTTCCATTTCCATTTCCATTTCTATACCGCCCTTCTCCAATAGGACTCAGGTCACGTGACCAAAATATGGGTGCTTGGCAACCGGTATGTATTTACAATGATTGCGGTGTCCTGAGGTCACATAATTGCTAGCTTCTGACAAGCAAAGTCAATGGGGGAAGCTGGATTCGCTTAATGACCGCATGATTCACTTTACAACTGCAATGATTTTCTTATCAACTGTGGCAAAAAAGGTCATAAAATTGGGCACAATTCGCTTAGCAACCTCCTTCTTAACAAGAGAAATGCTGGTCCAAATTGCGGTAAGTCGAGGACTATCTGTGAAGAAAGTACATTTTTACTGGTTATCTCTTAGGGTGACAGGAAGGGCATCCAGCCAGTAAACACTCAGCTCCATTCAGTTGCCCAGACTCCATCCTGCAAGGGATTATGGGGTCATTCAATGGAGATGATCTCTTAAGGGCTGTGCGGAGCTTTTGATATGAAAGGGGAAAAAAGTAGTTTGGAATGCATAGAACTACAAATGAACTGTCTTTCCAGAACTCCTTAAAGCAGCCTTATCTTTTCCCACATCTGTGTTCTGACCTAGGCCTCCTGAATCAGTAAAACACACGAGTAGTCCCAAAAACCTGTTTTATTTTAACAGCTGTGAATTCTGTTCATTCACAAATGAATCCCAAATAGTTGTAAAGAGTCCTTCAGGATAAGGCTGATAATCACACACCTTTATCTCCCTTGAAACGCTGCCAAAGACCTAATTGGCAGAGCCACATGCAGAGTCCAGAATCAAAGAGACTTTAAACTGCACAGAATTAACAAGGTTGCTTCCTGCAAAGGCCCGCGTGCCTTTGCTCCTCTTTTAAATCTTATGGGAGGGGCCAATCATCTCCAAGCCCTACTCCCAAGTCATCCCTTTTGTTTTAACTGTTCTTGCCTTCTGGCAGCTCTGCGCATGTGTGCACTGGGAACAGGCTCACCCTGTTCCTCTGCCTTGCAGTGGTCCGACTCTGGAGGCTCCAGAGGCAGCACGTACTTCCCAGATGGCCCTTTCTCTGCCTCCGACACAGAGCCCTCGTCCGAGCCTTTCCCAGACTCCAGGACTGGCCCATGTTCCTCCCCAGCCTCCTCACTGTCCGACTCTGCTGCCAGCTCCACAGGCTGCTGGTAGACTACAACAATCTGTGTGGCTGCTTCACAGTCCTAGGAAAAGATGCTTTTTTTTTAAAGGAGTGAAAACAGGTGCAACATTTGCATCTATGTGTACTTTGAAAGAAGTTTACATGCTAAAGCTTACATAGCTTATAATCTTTCATGAATTGATTACCAGCCTGTTTATTTTGTGAGAAAGTAAACTTCTCCCCACACACTTGCTCCACTTTTTGTTACTTCATAGACTTCCAAAAATAATTTTGGCCACCCTGAAATGCAGATAAGGCAGCAAGCAGAAAAGTCAATTTGAACAGCCTTAAAGACACAATTCATAGCTGCTGGTTAATCTTGTGGGCTCATATTATGCCGATTTGCTATTAATTTCATTAGCACTGCAGAAAGTTATGAAAAATATCTTGACAGCTCTTGATACATAAGCATCTCTAAGAAGAGAAATTTCATAAACAAAAAATCACTCATAATGCACTATTTTCCCCATATCCTCTAGGACATTTTATCAAAGATTTTTAAAGTTTAGGGAGCTTTCCAGTTCAAGCATGAGATTGTTTTTAAGGCCCTGATGCTCTCATTAGGAGGGGCAAACATGAGCATTAATTTACCATCCAATGAGAACTTTTAGTGTGGGGGCGAGTTTTGCTTTTAATTTCATGCTGCAAATGAACTGCAACCCTCTTTTGAAAGTGATTCTTCTTGTAAATCAGCCAATTAGGCCTGCTTAACCTGCCAGAGTCTCCTTTAATGATTGATGCGGTGGGACGTAAAAGTGAAACCTTTACACGTTCCAGTGATTCTCTGCTGAACTCCCTTCACTATTCAAGTTCTGCAAGAAAAGGTATGGGGGGCGGGGGGTCTGTTTGTTTTTAAAAACACCCAGAAGCAGATGTTCATGATTCAGACACAAAGTTTATAAGATGGGTAGCACTATTTAGCAGTACAATTCAGCAAAGTTACAACCAAGTTTTACTTTCGGGGCAACAAAAATCAATTCAACAAACACGCTCATGTTAACATTGGAAAGCCCCTCACTGATCCGAAGAGGCCTATGTTAAACTGCCTTAGCTGCTGCTATTAAAACATGAAGGACCAACATAAATGCAGAAAGAAACTTCAGGTTTTCCATCCTGAATGAAGGGCTTTCCATTTTTTTTAAAAGACCTCTTACATTTAATAGATCTCTTGATAAAACACTGAGAAACTTTACTTCCAGATGATAAAATCTCTTTCACATTGGCTTTGTCTAGTGTTAATAAAAAAATAATGAAGTTGGCAAACAGGCTGTTTTCAGCCTCCAAAGGGCCTTTGAGGAGGGTGGGGAAAACTGTTTTCGTCCTCCCCAGACTCCTAGAAAGGCTCTGGAGGATGGGGAGAGAGAAAAACGAACGTGATCTGTCCCCGTCCCCACACACACACACACAGCCAGCCGAGGGTTAAGGAAACACTTTGGAACGCACCCAGTTCTTATCTCCGACTTGGCAGCGATAGACACACCGTCTGCCAAGGGACTTTATTTGCACAAACAGACAGATTAAATACGAACGTTCAAGAAAGTCCAAACAGAAATAATATTCCTCCCAGCAGTTCCGGACGAGGCTTTAGTGACTCCAAGGTTTTGCTTTGTTCGTCACAAAAGATCCTTGACCACCCCTCTCTATTATATAGTCTCTGGGGTGTGGTCTCTGGGGTGTGGTCCAGTGACTCAGTGCTAATCCCTAGCACACCTCCTAAGCTGCTGCAAACGTTTATCACGCCTTCGGAGGCGTGCGTCCAGGAATGATGTCTCATTATCACTTTGACTGGAATCAGCTGTCTCCTCTCCCTCGACCGGCACTTGAGACAATGCCAGAGGGGAGGGGCCTGGAGAGGGAGGCCTGGCTGACTCCTCTTCCTCATGCTCGGAGCTTTCTTCCTCCGATGGGACAGGCTCAGAGGGCGGGGCCACAACAGAACGTTGTCTTATCTGAACGTTCCTTTTCAGCTCTCTGCGACTGCAATCCACGTGTGGGTTTCCTTCTTCCTCGCTTCCTATTGACTGGGTGATTTTTTTCAACTGTCTCTCCGTGCTGTGGCCACACCCACCTTCCCATGTTGCACCAGTCTTTGAACGAAGGCGTGACCACCTAGTAGACAAATCAAAATTTCAGAACAAGCCATATAAACTTAAAATCTCTGGAACCCGTACCAAACACAAGAATCAGAAAACCAACAGGGCGGGTGTGGATTGCAGTCACAGAGAGCTGAAAAGGAACGTTCAGGTAAGACAACGTTCGTTTTCCAGCCCTCTGCTCCTGCAATTCACGTGTGGGATATACCAAAGTTCACATCCCAGGGCGGGAAAAAACTACTTGGACTCAGACCCCTGAACCTCAAGGACACTTTGGAGAACACGTCTCCCAAAGGATGCTTCGGCTGAAGCATACGTATCAATCCGGTAGTGCCTGATGAAAGGTGTCACAGACGACCAAGTGGCGGCCCGACATATGTCTGAAACTGAAGCCTGCGTAGCCCAGGCGGCCGACGCTGCCGCACTACGCGTAGAATGAGGTAAGATGCGACTCGGCACAGGACGAGAGCGTTGCTTGTAAGCTGTAGCAATGCATGTCTTAATCCACCTGCCCACTGTAGATGGAGAAATCTTTTGGCCCAAAGAAGGTGGGTGAAAAGACACCAGAAGAGCCTCAGTTTTACGGATGGATTCAGTCCTGCGAATATAACAACGTAGAGCCCTACGCACATCAAGGGTATGCCAGTCTTTTTCGCGTTGATGTTTCGGTGACGGGCAGAAATCCGGAAGGATAAGCTCCTGAGCCCGATGAAAATATGAGTTCACTTTGGGTAAGAATGCTGGGTCCAGACTTAGTATTACTGTATTAGGTTGAAAAATACAGAGATCTTTTCTAATCGATAGGGCGGAAAGTTCAGACACCCGTCTGGCAGAAGTGATCGCCAAAAGAAAGGTCAACTTGAAGGACAAATACTTTAAAGGAATAGACCCCAAAGGTTCAAAAGGAGGGTACATCAAGGTCTGAAGAACAAGGGAAAGGTCCCAGGTCGGGTATCTATGAACAACAGGTGGGCATAGGTTTACTGCTCCATGAAGAAATCCCTTAAG